CCTGCACAGGGCGGGAATTGGGATGAAGTGCTGGGTAGGTAGGGCCGAGTGAAGGTCTTCCAGTGTGCTCTCTCCATGTTTTCCCTCCCCCCTCTTCCAGTACGACCCTGACTAGGCTGCTGCAACTTTGTAAATGATGTTGGATAGTTTGCTGCTTGTAAATAATTAAAGGCTTTATGGTTTCTAAAAGTGCTGAGTATTAAACACCGTCATGAGTGGAACTTTTGTTACCATGCTTTCCATGCTTGTGCTTTATTTCTCACTGTTTGATATTATAAACCATATTTATTTTATGAAACACTGAAATTTAATAAAAACCATTAACTGATTTCCTTTTTTTATTCCATGTGTACTTTTGTTGGTGTGACACTCCATCCCCTCCAAGAACTAATAATGCTTTAAAGATGGGCTGTTCTGCTTCAGTAAAGCTTCACCTGGCAGGAGCTGTAATAATTTTAATCATTTAATCATTTAAACCAGAGCTTCTTTCTCCTGACCCTGCTTGCAGTGTGCAAGAACTGGAACAAAAGGCTTTCAGAAAACTGGGAAATAGTTTAGGCCTTTATTTTCCTCAGAAAGATTTATTCCATCAGTCTTCAGACTCTTGAATTTGGCTGCTGGTGGTCGATCTGTGTGGTCAGTGGCAGAATTGTGGTGATTTTTCTGATCCAGGTACCTGAAATTTAATCTTGAGTTTTAGTTATAAAAAAAAATCACCAGTAATCTGAAATACTTTGGCAAGGAATCAAGTGTGTTAGTCTGAACACAGGGAGTGAGAGAGAGAAGCTTGTAAGAACAGGACAGAATTTTGGGGTGAATGTGCAGGGAATGGGGGCAAACTGGCCCTGTGAGGAGGCAAAGGCAGACGGTGTTTTGGGGAAGGGAAAATTATGTATTTTCTTACAGAAGTTTTTGGATAATTCCAAATTTCAGCTCCAGTGTGTGTTCCCTGCTTGCTGTCAGCTCAGGGGCAAAGGAGGTTGTGACTCCAGAGCTTTGTTAGTGCTGATTTTGGGGTTGATTTTATGGAATTCTGACTGGGGTTTTAGTGACATCACCTTCAATCCTTCACTTTTAATGACTGAAAACCGCGTGCAGGAAGAAGGAGGTTGATCTGTACCCCAGAAACTCAGGGGGCAATGCTGATGTTTGCTGATGTCACTTCTAAAAACCCTTGGTGAGAATATGGAATTTTGTCCTTCCAGAACCACTGGAGAGCGGATTGTCAATCTGAAACCTGCGGGAACTACCTGTTCCCTCCCTGGGCAAACAGAATAATCACCTGTAGATAAATAGAATTAATTAATTTGGTGACTTGCAGCTTAAGCTGTTTGTTGAGCTTGGATTTCCCCAGGATTAGCTGGAGCCAGGGGTTGTTCCCTCTCAGCAAAACTTTGGATAAAAAAACCTTCCAGCTGCTCCCAGAGCTTCTGCTTGTGCTTCCTGGGAGGAGCCAGGAAGTGGCAGCTTTGTCTCTGACCGATCTTGATTTTTTAATTAATTTCTCCCACATAACCAGTACAAGAATGGACATCTTTAAAGTGCAGTGCAGTTTTCTTTTTCCCAAGCCCATCCATCAGTCTGTGTGTTCCTGTGCTCTCTTTGTGGTTGATGTGTCCTCGTCTCATTTTCATCCCCTAATTTGG